CAAGCAATGGATCATATTTGCAAATTTGCAATTCTTTGTATATCATCTGAATTAAGAAACTCTGTAAATGGTTCAAAGTTACAGATCTTTGACGAAGTAACATGATTTAAAAACAAGGACTTTGACCTTACCCAGAATATACCCTCAAACACCGTACCCTGCTCTTGCAATTAACCAATATACCTTTTTTCCTTTCATAAGGTGCGGACAACACGGGGCATCATTTGCATATGACCATTACTATGCTTTTTATTTAGGACGTTCAATGACGATGATGATCTTTACAAATGAAAGAGTCGAGTAGGTGAATCCAGTTTAGGTCAGTTGTTTGAGAATTGAACTCTAAAGATGAGATTCCTTGACTTTCAAAAACACCTAGACTATGACAGGTTCTTCTTGACAATCTTAATACATTAAATCCGTAAAAACTGAGCTATTCCGCTAAGGCAATTAGTTATAGAGGAAACTTGAAAGCCCTGGCCTTATGAGTAGATTACGTTCAAACCATGACATTGCTCGGACACTCGGCAATTCGGTGTTTGCTCCACTGCTCTTGTCAGGCCGAAGACTATGTGATGAGATGAACCCTTCAGTTAACTTGATAGGAGTAATTATAATATTAAGCTGTCCCTCTAAAGTAATTGGTTTAATGCCCCGGCTTTATGGATTCAGCTAGCCAGATAATGACAAGTTAAATCAAATTTATCTAAGTAAGAAATTTTCGGTAAAATGAACTAAGGGAGTTAAGGAACACCTGTTATAGTCAACTACACACGAGCACTCAAGAATTTCATTTTTAGACCGATATTTCTACACTACCTTTGTTAGAGGAGCCTACAAAACTTGAACAAATGAAAGATTTCGGAGAACCGAAATATAAGGCCTAGTTGATAATGCTAGTTGCGTCATTTTGTCCGCATCCAATCAAAATGTCAAAACATGTTCAATGACCAAGAAAAATGACATTTTTTCTTCTTTTTGCCAGAACCTTAGAAAATAGGAGACCAACCTAAAGCCAACTCATCCCTTTGAACATTTGTCAAAAACCTGTAACTCTGAAATCATAAAAAGTGCTATTGATTCCTTTGATATATTTTGAACTCATGTTTACAATTTGATTCAATTACGAACAATATTTTACAGAATTTTCATCATCTTCCCTCCTAAAACAAGAAAAAAGGAGAAAAACATTTTCAAACAGGATAGTCTCGGATATGAAAGGTCTGTAAAGCCAAGGCCCGGAAAAGGGAATGGGGCACGATCGATTCCAAGGACCAGATTGGCAGACAAATCACGAGACTCCATCCAAGAAATAACACATAATTTATTCATGTTGCATGCATCTTAGGCATACTTAGGTGCATCACATTCATCATTTTAGCATACATAATGTTGCGGCTTTCAGAGTCAAGCTTTGACTTTAGGATGAAGGCTACTCGACTTGCAAGCACCTTTAAAAAACAATGGTGTAACTCAGCAGCAAGAAGCTACACCTCAACCGACTTTACATATCTACAGATCTCAGAACCAATTTCAGATGGGTTCGAGAACCAATTTCAGATGGGTTCGAGAACCAATTCAGATCAAATTCAGTTCAGCTCAACTCAACAATGAGCAACATGTTTCCAAAACGGAAGATATCCGGCTGTCAGAATTTATCAGTAGGTTTTCCCATACCAGCTTAGGGGAACCACCTGAAGAATCATGACCATTTTCGACCCGTAAAGGGAAGCCATTTTTAAACAAACTATTTGCAGCATAACTCAAGGCTAGAAGGGTTATCTGTTAGCAAAAGACCTTTGAGTTCGACTACGCTCAGCTCAAGGCACATCATTTGCAGTATAGCTTAAGTCGAGAAGAGCTATCTGCCAAAGACCCTCGAGTTCGATTACACTCAGCTTCAAGGGCATAAAATTTACAGCATAACTCAAGGCTAGAAGGGTTATCTGTTAGCAAAAGACCTTTGAGTTCGACTACGCTCAGCTCAACGGCACATCATTTGCAACATAGCTTACGTCGAGAAGGGCTATCTGCCAAAGACCTTCGAGTTCGACTACGCTCAGCTCCGAGGGCATATCATTTGCAGCACAACTTAAGTCTAGAAGGGTTGTCTGCCAACCAAAGACCTTTGAGTTCGACTACGCTCAGCTCCAAGGCACATCATTTGCAGTATAGCTTAAGTTGAGAAGGGCTATCTGCCAAAGACCCCCGAGTTCAATTACACTCAGCTTCGAGGGCACATCATTTACAGCATAACTCAAGGCTAGAAGGGTTATCTGTGACCAAAGACCTATGAGTTTGACTACGCTCAGCTCCAAGGCACATCATTTGCAGTATAGCTTAAGTCGAGAAGGGCTATCTGCTAAAGACATTCGAGTTCGATTATATTCAACTTAGAGGCAAATCAAGCTTACAGAATAGCTCAAGGCAAGAAGGGCTATCTGTCAATAAAATTGTCGAGTTCGGTTCCATTCAGCTCGATGACACCTCAATCACACTATTGTCCGGCTGCAATCGAGGTTTTAAAGTCAAGAAGAACACCTGGGTTAACCGTGCCTAAGTGACAAAAATCACTTTCCGGCAGCATAGCTTAAGTCAAGAAAAGTCATCTGTCGACGAGGACCTTTCGAGTTCGATTTCATTCAGCTCAAGGGCCTATCAATCACATGGTGGAGTCAAAGAACTACTTTACAGTCGAATTTTTTTTAACTAAGGTTTTTAAAACCGAGAAGAAGACCGAAGTTGACTACAATTTAACGACGAGAAGCCACATTCTGATTCAAATTCTGAACTACGGCTTCAATTCTATATCGTTTCAAGATGGACTCGACTTCGCAAATGATGAGCCATCCGGAACTCAAATTCGACAGGGAGTTATTCTTAAACTCCACCGAACGAAAATTTGTGTCTTTATATCTTTGTCCTATTTTTCGTTCCACGAAAAAGGACAAAGAGGAGCAGCTGTAGACACTCATTTTCGTCCATATCTTTTTTATTTATTTTTAATTTATATATTATATAATTTAAAAAAACATTTTGAAAATAAATGATATATAGTTTTTAAAACATTTTGAAAAACATTTATATATTATATAGTTTTTTAAAACGTTTTTGAAAATAAATATAATATATAATTTTCAAGACATTTTTGAAAATATATATATATATATAATATATTTTTTTAAAAACATTTTGAAAATAAATATAGAATATATAATTTTTTTGAAAAACATTTTGAAAACATATATAATATATAATTTTTAAAATATTTTTGAAAATTATATGATTTTTAAAGACATTTTTGAAAATTATATAGTTTTTTAAAATATTTTTGGCAATTTATATATAATATATAGTTTTTAAAAGAAACAGTTTTAAAAAATGTATATTATATAGTTTTTTATATTTATTATTATTATTTATTATTACTATAATTATTATTATTATTATTACTTATTTTACTTTTTTTTCATGTCCAAAAGTCACGGCCATGGTCCAAATCCAAGACACTGGGCCTGAACTAGCCCAGCAGAGGATACGGTTTAGGGTCTGGAAACCCTAGTCATACATGTCACAGGCGGCGCACGAAGGGGGCAACCAAACGTCAAGCCCGAACCGGCCGACCGGGAAAATCGGGACTGCACCATCCCGAGAATCCCGGCCACGTGAACGTTGAGGGGAACGACCCCGTTATCATCGGAAACGGCCTTCACCGAGGGGTTATAAATACCCCGGTGAGGCCATGCAAAAAGGGAGGAGAACCCATCAAGGATCGAGTACCACACAGTCAAAACACGACCGACCGAGAACAAACAAGGCCATCAACGCAAGAAACTAAACACCAACTACATCAACAGAAAACCCAAACAACCAACAACAGATCGAGAGAAAACCAAACGACAACAGATCAAGAATAACCAACCAAAACCCACATGCAAACATAACACAAAAAGAAAAAAGCAATACGCGTCGAAACCGAGAAGAAACCACCGGAAAAGGCGAAAGGTCTCCGGAAAAGGTAAAAACCCGAAGGGTTTTTCTTTAGATCTACTCCGATAAGGGGGTTGTTTGGGTATTTGAGTGTTGATTTTGGGTTCACGGGGACGTGAGGTTTATTTTGGTGAGGTTCGGGTTTTCATAGGCCGCCGGCAGTGGTGGCCGGCGCGGTGGCCGGAGCGGCGGAGGAGACACGAGGCGGCGGCCGGAAATCGCCTTGAGGAGAGAGGCCAGAGAGAGTTCCAGTTCTCTCGTTTTAGAGAGAGAGACCCGGGTGAGAAATAAGAATAGGGGAGGGGTTCTGGGCCGTTTTTGGTAGATATGCCCCCCCATGCGACGTCGTTTTGAAGAGGGGGGGGTTTTGCTTTTTTTTATCTGCGGGTTAATCCCGTTTCAGGTCCCCCGTATTTTGTTTCAATTTATGTTCACCCATTTAATTCGAATATTGTCCCCTAATTACATTTCCTTTCAAATTGGTCCCTTTTATTTATTTATTCATTTCTTTTCGTTTTTTATTTCCAATTCCGTACATTTGTTTTTATCTTTTTTTTATATTTATTATTATTTACCTCTTACTATTTCTTTATTTCATTATTTCATTTTTATTTAATATTTTTTTTTATTTTTCTTATATCTATTTTTTTTTTTAAATTTCTTTCTTTTGTCTTCACTAACATTTTTAATTTTGTAGATAAATTCCAACAAATCAAATGTAAGTAATTCGAATCGAATTTTTTTTTAATTTTAATTTAAATTTCTAGTTTTCGCTATAAAGACAACCGACAAATTAATTGGTACCGAAAGGGCGATTCAAGAGTGCTAATCCTTCCTTGACCGTAACCGACTCCCGAGCCCGACACGTTTCTGGTACAACGTAGATCAGGTAAGATGGTGTCCGACCCACCTAAATTCGTTTTAAAGTGGTCGGTGGCGACTCCAACCAACTCATTTCAAGTCGAAGCCCAATTCCGGGGCCCAACCGAAAGACGGTTGCGACACTTGTATTCAGACCAAAACCAACTTGAAATTCAGACCAAACATCAACAGCATGAATTGCTGCAGCATATGCAGAATTCTAGGAAACAAAGGCGGTGCTGGTCACCTGAGCTTCATAGACGATTTGTCGAAGCTCTTCAACAGCTTGGAGGTTCCAAAGGTCAGGCGCCTTTGCAAATAGATTTATCAGATTTGATGAGTTCTAAAGAACCTTTTCTTAGCAGCTTCTTTATGTTCTCAATTTCATAGATTTATGTCTTTTTTATGACAAAAAAAAAGACAGGAATCTGATTCTTTCTTGGTGTCTTAATGTTCCATAGTGGCAACTCCTAAACAGATTAGAGAATTGATGCAAGTTGATGGTCTCACCAATGATGAAGTGAAAAGCCATTTGCAGGTTAATTTTCATTTCATGTTGTAGCCTTTTTGATCTCCTTTATGTTTACTGAATTTGTGTGTTGAACGTGCAGAAATACAGACTTCATTTTCGAAAGGTTCCGGCTTCTTCAGCTGGGCAAGGAAGTCAAAATCAGTGCAATAAGAAAGCAAACATTTCAGTCAGTTTCCCCACAGTGTCCCCTCTTTGCCAATGAGCGTGCTAAAGGCCTGTCCAGTACCACTGGAGGCGATAGCATGGATACCGAAGAAGAAGAAAACTCAGATGGCCGAATTTGATAATTTGTTCCCATGAATTTTGCAATAACATGGGGGAAACGGATCATAATTACAGCGACTCGGGGTGATTTTAAAGAGATTTTTGCAGATACCAATTGGACTGTTGGTTTCTCCATTAATCAACATCCTTGTCTGAATGTTGGATTTGTATGAACCAAAATAACAATCTTCTGCAGAGTTGTTTCATTTTTGTTAAGACTTGATCACAACTAATGTACTTGATATTTGGACATTCTTAACACCAATCATTGTTTTATGATAGATTTTGGTTTGGTTTCTGTGGGGATTTCGGTTAATGATTAGTTTTTCTGCAATAATGGTGACCTATTTAGATGAGTCACAGTTAAGAGTGTTCAGATCCAATCCGAAAAAAAAATAACCGAAAACCGATCTAAAAAATCGATAACCGAAAAAAACCGAAACTGATTTAGTGTGTTTGGTTTTTTTTTTAAACCGATCGCTTCGGTTCGGTTTCGGTTTGAAAATCCGGAACTGATCCAAACCGAACCGATAGTTGGCTATCTCAACTCAATTAAGTTTGCTTCTAGTTCTTCGAACAATGTTGGTTTGCAGTGTTATTAACTGTTGGCTAATTTTAATGCTTGGATTCAAAAAAAAAACAATGTGTTGCAGACTGTGCTTCCGTAGCAATGCCAAGGAAATTGGATTCGTTAAGTACCGCTGAGGGATTTATGATGCGAAGGAGGGAGGAATTCGTTCAAGTATGTACCATTTTAGTATGGTTTTCTGATTAGAAGAAGCTTTAAGAACATGTTTTTGTTGAGTTTATTCTGGGACCTTGGAAGTGTTTTATGAGTACTTTGTTGTTTCTTAATGGAAGTTTATTGCTGGTTAAAAAAAATTAGAATCCAAAAATCACACAAATCCAAACCGAATTAAACCACACTTAATTGGATCGTATCGAATTTTTTAAAAACATCCAAACCGAAAACATTTATACTTTCGGATCGGATGAATATTTAACTAAAAACCGATTTAAACCGACCGCGAACACCCCTAGTCACAACACTTTCTAAAATTAAGATGAGTCATCCTTGTCGTCTTAGGCCCTTTCATTTGTCAGCCCACTTAGCTAAGTTGCCTTTTATTCACGGCCATATTACATATATGATCATTAGGATTATTACCATTGACATTTATCTTTAAAATGGTACTGACGTTATTGTTTATCATAAAATGAGCACTTCATCATTAGTTTTCATTAAATTATAATATGACACGTTAAAAAGGTTTATATTCAATTCGATTTTAAAATTATAGTTAAAACATCAATTTGTTCCTTTAACAATATTTAAATATAAATAATAATAAAAATTTATACAATTTGAAAACTAAAATAAAAAAGCATAAACTTAAAAAATAATAACAAAGTGGGTAAATAATGAACTGAAACAGATGTCGACACTAGATTTTTATGTTTTAGTTCGTTAAAAATAAAATAAACATATACTAAGATGGAGAGTTGAGAGTTGATTTTAAAATTTTAAACTTTTTCAAGTTTCAATTTATAGATGATTAAAGCAAGTTAAAGTGATATTTTTTCTACTTAGAATAAAATTGTCTTCCCATTATCATATTTTCTCATCAATCAAACAAAAGATAAAAATACAAAGGGTAAGTCTTCCTTTTTTATCTTAATTTTTTCTCAATATTTTGGTGTCGTATTATTATTTTTATATATAATTTTTGTTTAGCCAGTGTTGGTACTTGTTGAATAATCGGGTAAAGAAAACGAAAGAACACAATAATTTTAACGAGGTTCAGCAATGTGTTTACGTCATCGGTACCTTAAGCGTCGCTAGAAGTTTTATTCAATTCAATGTCTCATAGGTTTATGTTACATCTCCTTTTATAATAAATAAACGCTGGTACATATTTACAAAAATAACCATGTACCGTACCGTGAGGACTGCGCCCCCGCACCCCCAACCCACATAATCGTAACCCCCACTACGAGACTTTCCTTACAAAGAAAATATATCTTGCCTTACCTAACAAATCTCCACCTTGACAAATATTATGCCCCTTAGGAAACATTCAATGTGGGTTGGGTTACCTTACTTCTTTAACAACTCGAAACACTCAACAAGTCCAAGCAATGCTTGAACTTGTCTGTCATAACTGACTTGGTGAACATATCAGCGATATTCTCATCAGTATGTACCTTCTGAAACAAAATCTCTCCAGATGCAACCAACTCTCTGATCTTGTGAAACCTTACATCAATATGCTTAGTTCTAGCCCGATATACCTGATTCTTAGCCAAGTGAATAGTACTTTGATTGTCACAAAGCAACTGAACTCCACCTTGCTGAACACCCAACTCCTTCACTAAACCAGTAAGCATAAAGCTTCTTTTGCAGCTTCAGCTGCTGCCATGTATTCAGCTTCAGTTGTAGATAATGCCACAACAGATTGAACAGTAGACTTCCAATAAATAGGCCATCCACCAAGAGAAAAAACATACCCTGTCGTAGATCTTCTATTATCCAAGTCACCTGCATAGTCTGGATCCACATATCCTACAACCAAAGGATTATCCCTCTGACTACCAAAAATAATTCCATGTCCCACAGTACCCTTTAAGTACCTAAAGATCCACTTGACTGCTTCTCAATGTTGCTTACCAGGTTTAGACATATACTTACAAAATTGACTACAGCATGAGCTAAATCAGGATGAGTACATATCATTGCATACATCAAGCAACCAACACATTAGAATACATAACCTTTTCCATATCTTCGCTTCCTTATTTGTCTTATGGCACTGTTCTGATGAGAGATTAAACTGATTCACCAATGGAGTGCTCACTGGTTTTGCGCTGCTCATCGCAAACCTTTCTAGCATTTTCTCAACATAACCCCGTTGAGATAGCCACAGTTTCCTTGATTCTCTGTCCCTGCAAATTTCCATTCCAAGAATTTTCTTTACAGCACCTAAATCTTTCATATCAAATTCCTGACTCAATAAAGTTTTCAAACCAATAACATTATCCATGTTCTTCGCAGCAATTAACATATCATCAACATACAGTAACAAAAAAATAAAAGAACCATCATCAAGGCTCTTAACATAGACACGACAATCATACTCACATCGCTTGTAGCCAATCTTGATCATATAGGAGTCAAATCGTTTGTACCACTGTCTCGGAGACTGTTTCAACCCGTACAAAGATTTCTTCTATCTGCAAACTAAATGTTCGTTTCCAGGTTGAGTGAAACCTTCAGGCTACTGCATGTAGATCTTCTCCTCTAAATCACCATGCAAAAAAGTAGCTTTCACATCCATCTGCTCTAAATGCAAATCCCAACTAGCCACCTATGCAAGTACTGCTCGGATTGAAGTGTGCCTGACCACAGGAGAAAAAATTTCATCATAATCAACTCCTTTCTGCTGTGAAAAACCCTTTGCTTCCAAACGAACCTTGAACTTTTCCCCTTCTTTTTCTGTTACTGTTGGTTTCTTCTTATACACCCATTTACAACCAATAGGCTTCTTACCCTCATGAAGGCAAACTAACTCTCATGTGCGATTGTGATTCAAAGACTCCATCTCCTTAACCATGACAGCCATCCACTTGTCGTTTTCCTGACTAGTAACAGCCTGACTAGTAACAGCATCATGAAAAGTGACCGGATCATCACTGCTAACAGTAAGTGCAAAAGAGACCAAGTCTTCAAAACCCAATATGTTCGGAGGCTTTATATTCGTCTGTCTCACCTTGTATCTGACGAGACTATAATCCTGCAAATCATCCGTAGCGGAACTACCAGAAGTCGGTTGAGAAGTTTCTGTTTTCTCAACTGGAAACTGCTCGAAATCCACCACTGTCGTGTCTTTCTTCTGCTGCAACATGGGTTGTTCATCAAAAACAACATCTATACTGATCACAATTTTCTTCGCAACTGGATCCCAGAACTTGAATCCTTTGACACCTTTCTTGTAACCCAGAAAAATGCACTCCTTCGATTTTGCATCAAGTTTAGATCTCTCATCAGTAGGTACATGCACATAAGCATGACAACCAAAAATCCGTAAGTGATCAAAAGTAACATCATGACCAGTCCATAACTCTTCTGCAACTTTCCCAGCCAATGATGTCATTGGCGATCTATTGATAAGATAACACTCCATGTTAACAGCCTCAGCCTAGAAGTGTTTGGGAAGCCCCGCATTCAACCGCAAACATCTGACTCTTTCATTCAATGGCATGTTCATCCGTTCCGCAACACCATTCTGTTATGGTATCTTGCGCACTGTAAAATGCCTCTTAATCCCATGCTCCTTACAGAAGTTTAGAAACTGTGAATCTGTGTACTCCGTACCATTTTCGGACCGCAAACACTTGATTTTTTCATCCTGTTTGGGTTTTCTACCTCAGCTTTCCACAGCTTGAACTTCTCAAAAACGTCAGACTTGTGTTTCAAAAAATACCCCCAAACTTTCTGTGAAAAATCGTCAGTAAAAGTAACATAATACCTAGATCCACCCAAAGACGATGTCGTGGAAGGCCCCCATACATGAGAATGCAAAAGTTAGGGCTCTTGACATAGCCCATTACTTTAATGGAATACCCTAATTAGAGGAATCAAGTGTAAACAAAATTCAACTTGACAACTCAAATGGAACTTACTTCATAGTTGTTTTATACATTACCTCCATAACTGCTTTAGACATTACCTCCGAAGATTGACAGCTTACTACTTTCAGTGCAGTTCCCCCAGAAAGGTTAAAATAACTTACATTAATATCACACTATTCATTGAGTTTCAATTTCAAGATTTCTTAAGCTCATCAAGAAGAATCTGTTATAGTATGAGTGTCAATGAAAACCAGGAAATTTATATTTTTAGAGCTCAATTTCTAGCGACTGACCTAAGCCAAATTAATTTATTCCATCATTCCATTTGTGAAAATTATATATCGTCATTTAACGTTCTCAGCATTTATGCAAACTAATAGGTCTTGCAATTTTATGTAACAAAGACATCACATCTTATCCACTTCCATACTTACTTCAGCATTTGATGGCTTCATTATGTGGGAGAAATGTTATCTTAATTTCTTTGGGTGAAAGGTATGATAAGTCAATGGTAAATGAACCTTATTGTTTTCATGGAATTTGATCTCATCATATGTCAAAAGGTTATAATTTCGATTCC